AACTCTAATACACGTAAGCAATGGATTGTGTATGAGAATTGGAGTATGATACTGTGATTAGTATTATAATTTTTGTGACTAGGAATTATAGCTCTTTTGGCTTACCATAAGATCCAATGCTTCCCATTACATAATTGTACCGAAAATGGAAGTGCTTGAGGTATGAGAATGCCCTCATTGATTGCACCATGTTGCTAATGTTGGAGACATTTATGTAATTCAATTTTAGCACTTGGAGACGATGCATACTTTCGATGCCTGAAGCGTAGAACTCTCTTGGGTAATATTCAAGTATATGTGTATTAACATTCATTATTCTGAAAATATAAACTTGAAAAACTTAGTTGAGTACCTGTTGGAGTTGTGAAGTTGTCGACCTCATTGGAACTTAGATCAAGCTCCTCCAAATTACTCAAAGCATGTAAACCTAGATTGACGTAGAGAAATAAATATGTACAAGCAAAATGTGAAAATAATGATTGAGAACTCAATTTTGTTTGACACGAAGTAAGAAAATTAGGAGTTCTAAACTGCAGAACTAACNTAAATAAGTACAAGCAAAATGTGAAAATAATGATTGAGAACTCAGTTTTGTTTGACACAAGTAAGAAAATAAGGAGTTCAAAACTGTATAACTAACCTTTCATTTGGATGGTTCCTTTTAGTTCATTATAAGAGAGATCTAGAGACTTGAGTGATGATAGCCCGTGAAGTGAGGAGAAAATGCTATTATTGAAGAAATTTGATTGTAAATTAAGGACCTTCAAATTTTTTAGACCTGTTTGTGTAACCCAATCCACAATAAGTTACAATATTATATCTAATAAACGACAAACTACTATTTAGTGGAAGGGAGGGGCCCGGGAGCAAAATAACATGAATGCTTTTGGTCATACATAATAAGGCCCAAGTGAAGTAATGAAAGAAAAGGAAATTTAAAATGAATGAGGATGAGGAACAAAATGCGAAGACATACCGTAAATGGTACCCAAGCTTCTAAATTTATTGTCACTTAGGTCGAGCTCCCTCAAATTGATAAAATCATTTAAATCTGTCGAAAAATACATGTAAAGATATTAAAAGGTCCTACGACCTAAAAACAATACATCACGAAAATAATATTATGGCTTCTGTGGTACTTTCAAGTACCAAGCATGCCCTTGATCTTTTCCATTTGAATTACTTGGGTTGATTAGCTCTATTACTATCTATCTCAATACGATTAACATATACATTTAGTGATGATAAACTTATTAGGAAGGAACAACTGACAAATGTTTTGATGTAATAGGAGAGCAATTTGCATAATTTTCAAGTTACACTACGGTAAGTAGATTTATCTAAAATGAAACCAAAGATTTTCTTTCTTACAAACAACTTAAATTAATGATAAAATCTCAAGTTAAGCTTCTGGCTTTTATATTGTTTTTTTCCATGGACTCTGTTTTTGCATTCATAGAATCGGTAGAAGTTGGAACTCTGTTATCTTGTCTTCACTCCAAAGATTCTTGCACTTACATGTTTTTTCTCAAAAATGTTTTATTGTTACTGTATTTTAAAATTATT